CTCCAGGCTGAACAGACCAAGTGACCTCAGCCACTCCTCATCCTGCTTCCCCTCAGTGCCCTTCACCCCTCCATGCCCTCTCTGGACACCCTCCAGTACTGTCCTTCTTACACTGGAGCACCCAGAGCTGCCCCCAGCACTGGAGGTGAGGCTGCCCCAGTGCAGAGCACAGCAGGACAATCCCCTCCCTTGCCTGGCTGGTGATGCTGTCCCTGATGCCCCACAGGACACACTTGGCCCTCCTGGCTGCCAGGGCACTGCTGGCTCATGTTCAGCTTGCCATCAGCTTGCCCAGGGCTCCTTTCCATGGCACTGCTCTCCAGCCTCTCATTCCCAGTCTGTCTGTACATCCAGGGTTGCCCCACATCCCATGCATAACGTGGCACCTTCCCCTTACTCTTGAACTTCATGTGGCTGGTGACTGCCCAGCCCTCTCTGCAGGGCCTCCCAGCCAGAGCCAACAGCTCCTCCCAGTTTTGTATTATCTGTGAACTTCATATCCCTCCCAGTCCAGCACCCAATCATTTCTGAAGATGTTGAAGAGCACAGATCCTAAGGTGGAGCCCCATGGAACCCCCACCCAGTGACGAGGCACCACTCTGATGTCACCCATTCACTGCAACCCCTTGAGCCTGACCCATGAACCAGCTGCTCTCCCAGCACATGATGTGCTTGCTTATCCAGCTGTGTGCTGGACATCTTGTCCAGCAGGACACTGTGAGAGACAGCACCAAAACTTTACTGAAATACAAAAGACCACAACTGGCTTCCCCTGGTCCACTAGGTGGATTACCTTGTCATAAGCATGCATTCTCTCAAAAAAGTCACGTCTCATTTTGCTGGTATCTATCATAAAGTTTACATATTTACACAAATGGGACTTTGCTCTTTTTTATTTTAAATCTACCTACAAAAATTTTAGGTACCTGACCTACACATTCTCAACACAACTGACCAAGTGTTTATTTCCTATTTGAAATCATTAAACAATGAGTTCTGTAAATACATCCATTTACTCTTCTTGGACTTCACCTCAAATTGTGCTTTGATCACAAATGTGAGAGTCTAGTGAGCTCATCCTTGTGCCTACAAAGAATGTTTGTGTCCATTAGAAAAATCATTACGCATTCTGTCATCTCAGAAGAAGAAGATGACGTGAATAGCAGGAAATGTGTCAGCCATGAATGAGAAAATGACAGACCAAAGATATTAAGACTGACTCCAGCTAACTATACAAACGTCAATTTCAGAAGCATGAAGCTTGACTGCAAAAGTACTATAAATAATGAAAGGGATAAAGGAACAACTTTTGCCTAAATGTTTAAATGTATTTTCTTGCACAGCATTTTTAAGCTTCAGCTTGGCACTCAAACACTAGCAAAGGCATGTGTAAATCTAAGCAAGACCATGTAATCAGATGGATTACATGAAGGATGTCATCACCTGCATACCTCTGTGAACAAGTTTTAATGATAGAAAATAATTTCAGCTCTGCAGTAATGGTAGATAGAGAGACTCTCCAAAGTGCATTTTTCCTAAAAATACCCTGGTCTGTATATTAATTTAAAAAACTAGAACCCAACAGAAACAAACAAACAAACAAACAAAAAACCCCAACAAACAAACAAACAAACTCACCAGCCAAAAATAACCAGTGAGAGACAGGAAGCAAGAAAACAATTTGCAAGAAATTATTTTCCTTTTCTCCCAGATCAACATACTTTTAGGAAAATCTTTGAGAGGAGCCTCTTTTTCTACAGATACCACTTATTGGATTTTCCCCTATATAAACTATCTGAATCAACACTCTCCAGAATATATGATTTCAAAGTTTGAAAATCAAACTAACTTTTCCATTGCACCTTTTTGGTTGAAAAAAATGTTAATCCAGTTGAAGACAACAGTTCACATACCTCCAGCATGTACATACTCATTCAAATTTTCCATTAGAAGATTAAATCACAGGGAACTTCATTAAAGAATTCTTTAAAAACCCAACAAAAACCAATGTTTTATCTATTCTGCAATGCAGAATGGTTTGGGCAAGCTTTAGTATTATTTGTTCATTACAAAATGTTTTCTCTTGTAACAGGATTCTGTGAACTACTAGAAAATTTTGCGAAGCATGCAAACAACGTTTCAATTTTCAGTTGCAGAATACATATTTCCAATAATCCTGATTCATGAAGTACTTCTAACCCTTCCTTCACATACAGTTATATATAGAAAGAGACAGCTCTGTATATTTAAACTGAGTCCAGTTAAAAAAAATACAAAAAAAGTATCTACCCATATACAGATCCCCCAGTACTAATTTCAAAAAGCTCCCAACATTACCTAGGAAAACTTGGATGAATATAGTATTAAGTGCTTTAGTAATAAGAGCAATGGAAAAAAAGTACCATAGGTTACTTTAGACCAACTAAAAGTCTCCATAAAATCCATAGTTACTGATTAAGAAACTGTGCTCAGCACACATAGCTTTATGTCCTAATTTTACAGCTTTTCTTTCAACACAATTTTCTCTTGGCAGTGGTCCTTAGACACTAAACAGCTCTCTGAGACTAGAAAACATTATTTCATTAAATTCATTAAATTGTAGAATTGATTTAGGGTGAACATGGAACTTGCTTTCTCATATCCTCAAACAGAAGGGAGGGAAGTATGAAAAGTTCCTCTGGGACCTGAATTGTCCCTCACTGCTCCTAAGCTCTAGAAAAAAACAGAACTACAAGTGCAGCAAATTTAACCAACACCAGCAACTACTAGGTGATTAGAGAAAGGTAGCAAATGTATAGATGTCTCAAAGACGGGCCATGAGCTGCACTACACAAAACTTCCTAGTTTTATATCCTATAACCAGTAATATGTCTCAATGGTGTTGGATATGGAAAGAATAAAGTGCCTATGAACTCCCCCTCCCTCAGATCACCAGGTAAAACTTTCATTCACAGAAGTATTTTTATTTTCAAGCTGTTTGGCTAAGATTTTCTACCCATTACTTTTGTGAGCAACTGTTGATCACAGTGCATCCTTCTTCTTTGTAGTGTTAAACAGCAGGATGCAACTCTATTTATCAACTCTTCAATATATAGGGATCCTGAAGCTTTTCATCCTTCTTCCTAACTGTAGGGGACTTGGAGATTTAATAACACAGCATTTCATAAAAAACTCATCAGAAGGATTAAAAAAAACCTGTAAATGCTTTTGTAAAGCTTTATTTTCATCAAACATGAAACACAACCAAAAAATGATAGGATCCTTTCAGATGCCTGGGAAAAATTGCATAATAGAAACTAAGAAGCAACAAGTTCCCCATCACAAGAGAAAAAGCAATGGTCTTGGACAAAAATGTTTCATAACAACAGGACCAAGTGTTGTGCTCTAAGATTCTCCCTCTAAAAGCATAGTTTAAGAAATCTTGTGCAGCTGCATAGTCATATATAAGAAGCCAAACAAACCATTCCTCTTAAGCACTCTACTAGACTGGGAATCATTCATGATTCTCACACTTTACCATTTCCCTCGCCCTTACACAGAACCATTAAACAGAGTAGTTCCTTTGTAAATAGGTATACAAGAAGATGTCCAGGTATAAAGCGTGCAAGCCCAGGTGCAAGAACATAAATGCAAAATCTTTTCTTTCTTTTCCTTACTACACATTCATTACTTGGAAATACCATCACTAAGTGGAGCACTAAGAATCTATGTCAAGCACTATCTTCTAGATATCTGTGACTGCAATGTTTCCAGAATGTAAAACTTCTATTTTCTTACCTAGTTCAGTAACTTGTCGATCAAAAGGACAACGAACTGCTCTGCCATGAAGGGGAAGCCGGGTAAGACAGTCATGGCAGACAGTATGGCCACACAAAAGCAGCCGGGGAACTTTGTCCCCTTGCAGAGAAAATACATCTTCACAGACCCCACACTCAAGAACCTGTAAGTGAAAAAAGACCATTTTTGGTTTTAAGCTAATTAATAAGCAAAACTTCACACAGAAAGCTGTACAACAATTTATGTTACAGATGTTCATGCAATCACAGTAATTCATGCAATAAGCTGAGTCAGTAATTTTGCTTTATATGCACACATATAACGATCATACTACCAATTTTTAAAAAGTAAATAAATAATTAGACACAAACAGAACATTTTAACTCGTCAGCCTCCTGCCTGACCACCACTAGTTCCTACCCGCTTCATTTAATACACTGCCACAAGACAAGCCTACTGGTCAAGAGGCACAAGCAGAAGAAACACCCTCGCAGGAAAAGGAAGCAGCCAGCAAGACCCTGCCAGAGCAGAGTGTTGACCGGTGGAGTTTCCCCTCGCTGCTGATGCTCATAAAGAGGTCAGTCACACCAAGTAAGCCAACTAGCAAGCTATAAACGCAGCACTGAGCTAGTGCGAGCAAACAGTTGTGGGCCGGAACATCTCAAGCTATAAACAAAAAGCACAACTGATAGTCACAGAGAAAGAAAAAAAAAAACCACCAAAACCAGTCCATAAGCCCGACACCCAGGGTACCACAGGCCTCCCGCCCCGTGTCCTGGGCGGGCACAGTCCGCCCCACCACAGGAGCTGGGCCGAGCTACCACCTCACCTTCACCGCGGCGCCCGCCGGGCCGCGACCGCCACCGCCAGGCCCGCGGCCACTCTCCGGCCCGGCCTTGTTTACGGCCAGGGCCGCCATCTCGGGGCGGGCGGAGCGGAGCGGCCCCGCAGGAAGGAGCGGGGAACTGCCGCTACCTCAGGCACCACCCCGGCGGGCGCAAGCGCCGCCCTGCAGAACTGCAAAACTACAGAGATGTAAAAAACTACGACTCCCAGCGTGCCCCACAGGAGAACTGGCAGGCGGAGGAGGCGGCCGTGCCGCACCCGGACCGCCCAGGGAACCCTGGGGGCTGTAGTCCCTTCCGCCGCGCTGCAGCCTGGGACGGCCGTGCCTGCTGCCGCCGCAGTGTGCGTGGCGCCTCCCGCTCCGCCAGCCATCCCGCGGGGTGAAGGCCATGGACGTCAACCAGCCCAAGCAGGAGCATTTGCTGGCTCTGAAAGGTACCAACAGCGCGGCCCCACCGGTTCCCGCCCGCCCGGGGTGGTGAAACTGCGTGTCTGATCCGCAGCCGAGGGTGGTTCTCCCCCCGGTTTAGAAGGAGGTGGAGCAGGGAGCGGCCCGGCGCTCGGGGGCCGCGGCGCTCGGTGCCCGAGGGCACAAGGCAGCGGTGAGGGCTGCTCTGCCGTGCCCGAGGGCACAAGGTAGCGCGGCTCTACCGTGCCGCTCTCACCACAGGGTGTGCACCTGGCGTGAGGGGCTCAACGCGGCTGCCCGGCTGTGTCAGTGCTTTCCATAAGGCTTCAAAGAAAATGTTCAGCTATAATTTCCTTTCCAGTTCTCCTGCTGCCTCTTGTTTGTTTGTTTTTCAGGACGAGAGGACACAGTGTTAAACCGGGTCAGGGGAGGCTTAGGCGGTGCGTTAGGAGGGATTCCTTCGCAGGAAGGGTGATCAGACACTGGCATGGGCTGCCCAGGGAGGTAGTGGAGTCACCGTCCCGGAAAGTATTTAAGGAACATGGACGTGGCACTTGATGCCGTGGTCTATTTGACAAGGTGGTGTTCGGTTTTACGCTGGATTCCATGATCTCAGACGTATTTTCCAACACAGTTGATTCCGCTTTAGGATGCCTTTTGCCCTTTTCACCCTCTGCTTAATGTGCAATTACGAGGCTTACCTCCTTGATTCAGGAATCACAGAGTGAAAATACAATTGTGTAGGTCACTTGCATGCCTCCAAAATTAATGTAGAAATCAAGAGAGCCCTGTGAAGAATTTGATCATTTCTGAATCATAAATGCTGCTAGTTATGTGCATGCAATGGAGAGCTGGTTAGAATCTCACCTCTGCAAGCATTCTAGATCAGTGAGACTGCCTAGGTGGATAAAGTAGTGCAGGTATGAGTGATTTCAGAGACCATCTTCTCGTTTTAAAACTCTCCTGGACAAAGTTTTTAATGGTGTCTCCATGTGCTGGTAAAATCTGTTAACCATAATTCAAAGCCCAGCAAGCTCTTTTCACGTACATATACACACATGCAATAAGGGCAATAAACATGAGAACGTGAAACGTCAGCAGCTCTCAAATGCGTTTTGATAGTAATTAATTCAAAGTAAAAAGCTTTATGGTGGATCATTTTGATTTTATAAGAAACCAGTGCTATCCTTAGTTTTGTATTGAATTTTATCCAGGTTGTAGTTTTTGTAGAAATGGGGAAAGTATGGGGATTTATGTGCATTGTGGCTGTATTAAACAAAATCTTGACAGTGGCAATCCTAGATTTTGTTATTTTAATATCATGTATGTTACTGCTTTCCATTAGGGAGTGTGAAATGATTGCAAAATTTTTGTGGGTGCAGGGGGAAAGGGGAAGAAGGATAGGAAATAGGAGAGCAACACTGTGCATGTTTTACTTATGTTTCATAATAGTGTAGTTCTCCCTTCACCATGCTTCTGAATTTAATATAATCTTTGTATGGAAGTATAAAGCCTTTGACAACTTAATAAGTTGCTTATTAAGCAAAAGTCTAATAAATTAAGAAATTATCGGTTCCTTAAGAATTAAAGCATAGTTGCATGTAATGCTTGGAAGCTTTGAGGCTAAAAATGTGTAGTTCTGATACAAAATGGAACCAGGCACCTTTAATTTGCCTAGAACACTTCCCTTTTAACTTTTCACTTTAAAAATTACTGTATCAGTAGGCTCTATTTTGGGAAGGGTTTCTGTAACATATGTGTTTTCTAGTTACTTTATGTGCCTCGGCTAAAAGTGCTGATATAGAGGAGTAAAACACTTAAAAAAATTGTCAGCTAAATTTGAGAAAATAGGCAGAAGTAATTGTGTGTCTTTTAATATGCATCCTGACGATATAACCAGAATAGTGATGGATGGCAAGTATGAGATGGTGACAGTAAAAGAGTTCTCTTGGAAAAGGACTGTTTAGAGTAAGCAGTGTGCATGTGGATAATGTTTAGTGTACTGACGTTACACTGGTAATGATGGAATACAGCCACTAATGTTCAGCCTAGATAAAATAAATTGTTCTGATATATATCTCATGTATTTTTACTACCTATTTCTTTCTTGAAAAATATCCTAGCAACATTTGTCTTAATATGGTAGTATCTCATTGTTTTATAATACTTCTGCTTTAGGTCCTGTTTTCCACTGATCTATGCATCATGAGGCAAGGAAATTCTTGTAAATAAGATGTTTCAGTCTAGATACAAGAATCATTATCAAGAGACTGTTTTCCTAAGAATCACTGGATTCCTACTGTTCGAGCATGGAAGTGGTCTTGCACTATCGACCACATCAGAGAGATCTAATAAAACTGCAGAAATTTGCAGAAGCAGCAGTGAAGGAGTTTCCCATTCGCCAATTACCAAGATTTGCACCCTGGTTTCCAAATGATTTACGCAGACTTCCCCTCAAACCAAAAAAGCAGGCACCTGTTATTTCTTGTGAGGAAGTGGAAGAATTGAAACAGCTTTCTACACCTTCAGAATATGTTACAGGATCTCCTGATTATGACTGCACAAAAAATCTCTTTGAGTTTCACTCTATCATGAAACATGGTCCAACTTTAATCCAAGCACAGGCTGTTCACAGACCAATTAACTTGGACTGTCAAGGAGAACCACCACCTAACGGAAAACAGAAATTGAAAAGGTCTTGGAGTGTCTCTCTCCCTAGAGCTAAACTCAGAGAAAAGATTCATCCTTTATCTCAAGAACTGCAGAATAATTTGGAAAGACTAAAGCTGCATGCATTTTGTAGAGCCAAGTGGACAATTGAACAGTCTCTTTGTAAAAATCAGAATTTGGAGGACATATGGGTAAAATTGAATAGACTCATTAAACAGAATGAATTGCCATCTTGCAATGCTACTATCCAAAGATCTGTGGGACAGATATGGATTTTCTGTGATATATTATACTGTGAATATGTTAGAAATATTCTCAGGGAAAAGCTTAGCCTTACAGATAAAATGAATTTGCTTGTACATAAATATGGAATTATATTTAGTTTATAACTTCAGATGTAATTTAATAATAACATTACTGTCAGAAATACTAAAGTTTTTAAACACTTTAGAATATGTAGACCTTAGAACAACTGATAAATTAACAGTAAGAAAACTACTTATGTTACTTTGCTATGATTTTCTAACTATAATGATATATTTCTTTAACTTTGTTTTGCCTCAAGACTTAGACTTCTGTTAAGATTAGTAAGTTTCTGTTTGTCTTAGTACTGTGTTTTATAGCTTTTCTCTACCTTGGTGGTCTAAAGGAAAAAATTAAAGTAAGAATTCCAGACTATTCCAAGCTATATCAGATAATAAAATTAATGCTTTAAATTAAGCAAAGTATGTCCTCTCTGCTTCATTGGAATTAGGAGAAGGAAAGATGTTTTTAAATTGTTGTAATAATTGCTATAATAGCTGTAAGTGACATTAAGATTTTCAAGATCTGATTATCTCCTGAAAGCAGTCTGTGAGTTTTTTTAATGATGGCATATCCCTCCCATGAAATACAAACTTACTTTATGTGGGATATATGCACTCTCTTAGTAATGTTTGCTATATTTTCACAGAAGTATTAATGATAGCTTCAGTGGAAGTTGTGGGCTGAAAAATAACTAACAACTTAATAATTGCTGCTTTATGCCTTTGATAATTTCTTTTCCTGATGTTTCTGGTTTTTTGTCTCTAATTATATTTGGGAACAAGAAAACACTAGCTTCCAGGTAAAAGTGAGGAAATTAAGAAATGAGACATCTATCTGAAACCTCTTTTGTCTTTGAGAATTTGAATACCTTTTATGGTCATAAAAGGCAGAGTTCAGGATGACTTTTTGTCTTCTAAAAGAATGAAGTGTTCCAAGGTCATGCTGTCCCTGCTCAGTTGAAACTTTGGAGGGTCAGTAGAGAAGTTAAACTGGGATCAATATGACTGCAAGGTTATGCATTTGAACTCCTACTAATTCTAGATAGTTTTGATGTAGCTGGAGGTCAAGGTTTGTAGCATCTGGAAAAGGAGGAAAACAGCATTTGTAGATTATTACATTATCATTATTGCCACTCACACCAAAGTATGTATAAGCGTAACAGGGATCCCTCTGTAAAAAAAAAAATGAATCCCCCTCAGACTTAACATTCTTATAACATCCTGGTGTTGGATACCTATATTTTATTGTAGGCATTACAATTTTTTAAGATAAAAATTTCTCCATTTGAGTCACTGACATATATTTTTAAACTTTGACTGAATTTTAAGACATTTATATATGTCTTATATTTGAGATGTTTGTGACATTTAATATGACTGCTTAGCAAAATTGATGCAAAATTCTCTCTAGACTGCATTTTAACTGCAGTATTGAGGGTTGTTATTAGGTTTAAAGCCTATATAGTCAATTTTTTTGCTGACATTATATTTCTGAGCTCAACATTAAGAGTAACTAAACTTCTTTGTGCATCAGCATTTTTGAAGATAAAATGAAATAAAATGCAGTGTGATTTGAGTTCTATTTAATGTATTTTGTATCTAGGATCTTGGAAGAGATGATACATTTCCTAACAATAATTTAGTACTTCTAATAAATGTGATAATATATCTATCTAGTTTGTTTTGACTTCATTCTGTGATGTATTTATTTATTTTCTGAAACATGACTTAACTTTTTCTTTAGAAACAGCAAATACTAGTTATACAGGCATAGTGTGAATTTGAATAAAATTTGATAATGCAAATAATACAGTCTCACTAGATTTATTTGATATACTGACAAAAGTGCTGAACAAACATTTTACTAAACAGAAGGAGAGGTTGTTGTCACTGTAGGTGCCAGCTTTGTGTGGCTTTGGGTTGCCTCGTATGTGAATGATGGCAGATGCGCCGCTACCTGTGAGCACCTCAGCTGGTAGCTGAGGTCTTGTAAGAGTGAACACCATGTTTGATTGCTCTGCAGAATTACTGCAGTCTTGGTTAGCACCAGGATACAAGCTGAAATCCAGGCTCTCATTTTGTTCGCTTTGAGGAATGCTTAATTCATAAGCATGTGTAATTCAGTATCTTTTCTTTGTCATTTTCAATGTTGAATGTGGTTCACTATTTACTCTATTTTATATATCTTGGGTTTTGTTTAATATACCTTGTGGTTCTAAGCCTTCAAAGGTCACCATAACAAAGAGAATGTATTCTCTCTTTTTTCATGTGAAAAGTGAGAATAGTTTTTGTCAGTGCTAATTTGCGTAGGTCTGCTGTATGGTAGCATAAGTTCTTATGAACCAATACGACCCACTGTACCCAAATGTCTGTCAAAGTAATTGAATACTTTCTGCCACTGGGAACAGTGAATGCTGTCTAGATACAATAGCTGTACAAAAGTACAATAAAAATAACCCACCATAACTGTGTCAGTGCAAAGGTATTGATTAACTTGTTGCAATCAAGAGAAATCCTTTTGGTTTACTTTTTAGTTTTAGTTGGTGTTATGTTTGTAAGTTTCAAAGAAAAAAGCCCTAACGGTTTTTACATATTCAGATTAACACAAGATTACAAACACTCAATTTTGTTTTATATTAATGCCTTCATGATAAGCTATATATAAGTTTAGGGCCTTTGGTTAATTTGAAGAGGGAGAAATTCATTTAAGTAGTAGCACCTTAAATCTGTCATTTAAGTGAAAATAATGTAATTTTGAGTGTGAGTTAAAATAGCCTTTGAAAACACCACTTACTTGAGTAGCGTTTTTTAATAGGAAAATATTAATGATTTTGATTTTGTCAGTGTCAATAAAATAGCTTTGTTATATTTTCATGAGGTTTTTGTGCTGGTTTTACTGGTTTGAGGTTAAAGTTTGTGACTTAGAGAAAAAGCAGGGTATAAATAATGTAGGCTTTTAGTATTGTAACTCTACCTTGTGAAAGTGTTATAGGTTAAGATGTAAATGCAATTTCTAAGACTGGTGTTTGACTGAAAGGATCTGTACGAGTCGTCATGTCCCATTCTAGGGCAGCAAGGATCACAGGAATAGGCACTTAAGCTGGAAAAGTCTACAAACAAATGAAATGGACACACTTCTGAAGACCACAAAGCACTTAATGCTGTAGCAAGTGTAAGACTTCTAGCATATCAAATTGAAAGCAGTAAATGAATAGGTTAGTTCACCAGGATAAAAAGCAGGAAGAAGCAATGGTATTCTTGGATTTTAGAATAGCAGGGAGGTTTTCTTGTATTGTAAAAGGCCATGTGATCCTTTTTCAGTCTGGGACTTATTTGGTGGTAGTGATTTGTTGGGTGGTTTTGGTTTTTCTTGTGGAAGTTGAAAAACAAAATTAAAAATAATTTGATTGACCAATTTTTTTTTGGTTTTTTTTTTTATTCTTGCAGTGATGAGGCTAACCAAACCTACCTTGTTCACTAATATTCCAGTGACTTGTGAAGAAAGAGATTTGCCAGGTAAGTCTTTTCTACTGACTGATTATTATGTATGTTTTACCAAGTTCAAGCAGTGTGACCATCTAACACTTGGAGGAGTCATGACCTCCCATAAACTCTTACCTGAAACAGCAATATACTTAAGATTTGGTAATAGCTAAGGGAAAGTACCAAGGTGCACTCTATAGCTCTTGACTTGTATCTCTGAAAGATTGGTGATGATACTCAAACACATGACCTCAAAGTCTGAGCAATTGATATACACAGTGAGATGCATTTTTGTGAGAGAAATGTGTAAGTGGAGAAAGTTTGGCATTACTATATATATTTTTTTAATTTGAAGAAAAGGCCCTGGTAGTTAGAACCAACACATGAATGTTCTGTGGAAAAACAATCTTGCAAGAATCACTGGTTTTGAGTTGCATTATGCTTGGTGTGCTGTCATGAATTGGAAATCCCTGGGTTGTCTCCCAGAAATAGTTGAAGTCTTGAAGTCAAGTATAAGAGAGTCAAAGGAAAGATTCAAGAAGGAGGGTTGTGTAGAAATAAAAAATCAAGCAGGGGAAGAAAGTAAGTGAGGTTGATTACTTCTGTTATGTAATGTGGTTTAGATGGAATTTCTTTCAAAATTCAGTATTAATTTGAGCAATGAATTGTGCACTTCAGTGCGTATATACTGAGTAAATTATTGTTATTGGACACGAGTGTCTTGAAGTTAAGTTATAACTTGCAGGCTTATGGATATATATTTCATCCCTAAATAAGTTTATTGTAAAAGAAATGTATCTAAAATAAACTACATCTGAGTAAGCGATTACGTGCCTAACTTAAATGTAGACAAAACTTTGGACTTAGCAAATATTTAATTAATAGGAACTTGATATTTTTACAGGTAATCTATTTAACCAGCTCATGAAAGATGACCCTTCTACTGTAAAGGGGGCTGAAACTTTGATGTTAGGAGAAATGCTGACTTTGCCTCAAAATTTTGGGTAAGAATAAATTATTCTAACTGTAATATGCAAGGTTTAGGATTAATTTGGTTTAGGATTCATACTTCTCTTTCTCTTTGAATAACATTGTTCTGCAACAAGATGTTCAGTCATTTAAAAAGTAATACGTGGCTTGATTTATAAATATATATGTGTATTCTGCCTGATGTTTCTTGTCTGTAGCCTGACTGAACCTAATATGCATTGAAAGTTGAAAGAGATTTGCAACTGTGTGTGAATTTGTAAGATAATGCACTACTATAAATCATGTGTTAAACTTACAGAGTTTACTACTGTGATTTTTGTGGGTACTGAAATCCATCTTCTTATTCCTGTTAGGCTTTTAGCTAGAAAAAATTCTGATTTGTTTGTTCTCTTTTAAAACTGTTTGTCTTAGAAGGATGATTTCAGAAGTATGAGTACGCAAATGCCAGTTGTATTCTGCAGTTTGATCTGGCAAATGTGTATGTGTGTGAACTTAAAAATGTTTCAGTGAAATGTTCTGTTTTTTAATAACTGTTACTAAAAATATTTTCATTTTTTTCTTTTTTTTTTGCCTGAAATACAGGAATATATTTCTGGGAGAGACATTTTCCAGTTATATTAGTGTGCACAATGATAGCAATCAAGTTGTCAAGGACATACTTGTGAAGGTAAGTGAAGAAAAATCCACTTATAAAATATTTATAAAAAATAAAACACAATTATTATATTCTCTGACAATATATTGTACGTTTAATGCTAATACGTAGACTTTAGGAAATATATGTCTCTTTTTCCAATCTGGAAAATATACCTGGAAATTGGAAAGAGTAAGAATAGAATTATTATAATTATAATGGAATTATAATTCTCTAATTGCATAAAAATAGCAATTATTATAGAATTCTTCAAAGATTAAAATGGAAAACTAGGATTGTGTCAAAAAATGGATTTATTACAGAGTCATAGCGTTTAGGTTGGAAAAAACCTCTGAGGTCACCAAGTGGAAGTGTTAACCCAGCATTGCCAAGTCCACTGCTAAACTGTGTCCCTAAGTTCCACATCTGCACAGTCCCCTGGAGAGATGGTGGCTCAACCACTTCTCTAGGCAGCCTGTTCAATGCTTGACAACCCTTTTCATGAAGACATTGTTCCTGCTATCCAATCTAAACCTCCCCTGGTGCAACTTGAGGCCATTTCCTCTTGCTCCAATTGTTTGTTACTTCTGAGAAGAGACCACACCTGGCTATAGTCTTCTTTCATGTAGTTGCAGAGAGCAGTAAAGTCCCTCTCCTGAGCCTTTTTCTCCTGGCTAAACACCCCCACCTCCATTGACCTTCTTTGGACATACACCCTTCTATTTAAAACTTCTCTGAACAATTGGTGTAGCAAAACTTCCACAGCTAAAAAATGGAGTTACATTCACTTACCTTCACTTTCAATGAGATCTTCAATTCCCTGTGAAGCATACACTGATCGGTATATTGTATTAATTATTTTCTAGAGAGTTGGGGTTTTGTGTTTACTGAAAAATAAAGCAGAGTAAAAATTACAGAAGTCATTGTGTAACTCAATGTAGAAAGTAAATAGAGATTTTTTTAAGCTGTATGGTAAAGGACTGGACTATTTATATGTTTTACAGCTTGTCTTTAGCTTTGTAAGTATCTCATCATCTTAATATATGTCCCAGAAGGTGTCTGAGTCAAGAATATCACAGAATATTCTGAGTTGGAAGGGACGCACAAGGATGAGTAAGTCCAAGTCTTAAGTCAGTAGCCCACCCAAGGATCGAACCTACAGCCTTGGTGTTGTTCTGACCAACTGAGCTCTTACAATATCTGTGAAAGCATGTAGGGTACAAAATGCTCAGTAAGACCCAGGACTTTATAACATAAGTTACTTTTCTTTAACACAAGTTAAACAGATGTAGTTCTAACTGATGCTTTGTTTTTCCATTCCCAGGCTGATCTTCAGACAAGTTCTCAGCGTTTGAATCTTTCAGCTTCTAGTGCTGCAGTGGCAGAACTTAAACCTGACTGTTGCATTGATGATGTGATCCATCATGAAGTAAAGGAGATAGGAACACACATGTAAAATTTTAAATTTTTCTATTATTAAATGAGCTTAAATGAAACTGGAGTACATGCATGCTATTCTGCTTTTGATACAGCACAAGATTTAAAGTAACACAGCTTTTTTTTAAATTTGTTTTTTCAGCTTAGTTTGTGCAGTAAGTTATACTACGCAGACTGGAGAGAAGATGTACTTCAGAAAGTTCTTCAAATTTCAGGTATTTCGTGAAGCATTTTATTCTACTTTTAATAAGTGTGTGAGTC